ATGTTAACTGGGTCGGCAATTGCCGACCCAGTCACGGAGAATGCCGACCCAGTGACAGCCGTTTGCCGACCCAGTTGCCGCCCCCTCTAGGATGCAGCACGCACATGCAGGCTAGGTGCCGTCATTCATAGTGAGGCTACTGCCCTCCGAAATGATAATGCCGCCTCTTAAAGTGAAGCAGCCGTCTATAGAAAGTGATGATCTCGCAACTCAATGTGACAGTGCCGCCCCTAAATCTGTTAGTAGCCCCACTCAATGTAGGTACCTAATGGTGCCGCCCTTCTAAGCATCTGTGGAGCCCCGCAATGTGATGATACCGCCCCTCAAGAAGATGATGCCGCCCCTTTCAGTATCGGTGGCGCCCCTCAATGTGATGGTGCCGCCCTCAAAGTGCCGGTGGCGCCCCTGAATGTGATGGTGCTGCCCGCCAACGAGTCGGTGGCGCCCCTCAAAATGATGCTGCAGCCCCTTAAAGTGTTGGCGCCGCCCCTTATAGTGTCAGTGACGCCCTTCGAAGTGTCGGAGGAACCCACCAATATAATGGTGCCGCCCTTCTAGGTATCCACATAGCCGCTCATTGTGATGGAGCCGCCCCTCAAGCAGACGATGCCGCCCCTTAAGAAGATGATGCCGCCCCTGAATGTGATGGTGCTGCCCGCCAACGAGTCGGTGGCGCCCCTCAAAATGATGCTGCCGCCCCTTAAAGTGTTAGTGCCGCCCCTCATAGTGTCAGTGACGCTCTTCGGAGTGTCAGATGAACCCACCAATATAATGGTGCCGCCCCTCTAGGTATCCACATAGCCCCTCATTGTGATGGAGCTGCCCCTCAAGCAGATGATGCCGCCCCTCAAGAAGATGATGCCGCCCCTTTCAGCATCGGTGGCACCCCTCAATGTGATGGTGCCTCCCTCAAAGTGCCAGTGACGCCCCTAAATGTGATGGTGTCTCCTATCAACAAGTCGGTGGCGGCCTTCAAAATGATGCTGCCGCCCCTAAAAGTGCTGGTGCCGCCCCTTACAGTGTCAGTGGCGCCCTTCAAAGTTTTGGAGGAACTCATCAACAATACAATGTTGCCGCCCTCTAACTTTCTGTAGCGTCCATCCATATACATACCTAATGGTGCCGCTTCTCAAACCATCCGTGGCGCCCCTCAAAGTGATGGTGCCGCCCCTTACAGTGTCGGTGGTGTCTCCTCAAAAGTCAAGGTGCCGCCTTTTAAAGAAATGCTGGTGTCCCTCGAAGTGTCGGAGGCGCTCCTCAATGTCATGTTGCCGCCCCTCAAACCTTCCGTAACGCCCCTCAACGTCATGGTGCCGCCCCCCCCCCCCCCCCAATGTGCTCACGGCGCCCTTAAATGTCATAGAAGCGCCGGTCAAAGTGATGACTGTGCTCCTGGCAGTGTCGGTGGCGCCCCTTATAGTGTCGGTGGCGCCCCGAACAGTATCGGTGGTGCCCCTCAAAGTGATGATGTCACCCTCAAACAAACGGTGGGGCCCTTCGAAGTATCGGAGTCCCTAAATATCATACCTATTGCCGCCCATTAACGATCTGTAGCGCCCCTCCATATGATGGAGCCGCCCCTTAAAGTATCCGCGGTGGTCCTTGAAGTTACAGTGCCGCCCCTTACAATGGGGTGGCGTCCTCAAAATAAAAGTGATGTTGCCCCCCCCCCCCCCCGAGTAAAGTTGGCGTCTCTTCTTTAAGTATCGGAGGCGCTCCTCATTGTCATTTTGCCCCACATCACTACGCACATGGCGCCCTTCAATGTAATGGTGCCACCCCCAACGCTCAAAGAGATAATTGCGCTTCTCACAGTGTCGCTGGTGCCCCTCAGAGTGCCCTAAAAAAGTTGGTGGCGCGCCTCAAAATGATGCTGTCGTCCCTTAGCATATCTGCAGCGCCGCCAAAATGATAGTGCTTTCCCTTAACCGGCGCCGGGCTGAGGTTTGAACCCCCCTCCCGACCCCTATAACTTGGCTACTGGGCCACGTAGCGACACGCGGTAAGCGGCATTCGAAAGAGTGTCAAAAACTCCTTGGGTTAGTTGGTTAACCGTACTTTGGTTAGGTCAAGTCAAATGTCAAATATCAGGTGACCAGAGGTCATCAAAGGTGAAATGTGGGTGAAATGTTGTCTGTTTCAACATTTATTGACAAACTGGCGCATAACTCGGGGAAGAATAGAACTACAGCACCGCGAAAAAAGCGCATTCGATTGCTCTTCAACGCTCCTATAAAGTCCTCAGACTTGACCTAACATCAACGGCTTAACCTCCAGAGCATTTATTTATTATTTATTTCACATCATAGACCCATTCCACACAAGCGTGGCTATTCTAGGATCAGGGTCACAATTAAAAAATAAGGATAGTTGGTCACACACATCATACACGAATTCATTCTCACAAACGCACACCCAAGCACACTTCCCGCGAGCGGGTCGTCACTAGCCGGCATCGGTCTGTTGCTGGAGCAAATACCTCCGCAGCTCTTTTTTAAATGGGCTCAGGCCTAGGTCGCGAATCGTTTGCGGTAAGTCATTAAAAGCGGTCACAGCTGAGTATAAAAAGCGTCTCCTACCGGATTCTGATCTAATGGTAGGCACATTCAGCAGCTCGTTCTGTCGCGTGTCGCGCTGATGAACATGTCGTCGAAGCGTGAGGCTGGCGGATAACGTCTCGGGCTGAGAGGTAGACAGAATGCGCTTTAACAATGTCAGCTTGTGAAAAACATGTAAATTGCGCGCCGTAAGCCACTGCAGTTCATGAAGGACGTCACTCACATGATCAAATCTTCGACGCCCGGAGATGACGCGTGCTGCGAAATTCAACACTTTCTGTAGCCGACCGTGTGGTGTTACAGGTTCCGTAGACACTAAGACAGTAGCGAAGTAGCACAACTAGTTTAACCCGTGCCGGGCCGGGGAGGGTTGGAGTGGACAGTGGACCCCCCTCCGCCCCTCTACTGAGCTATTTTAATGAGGAAACTTTTTACTGTAATAAGTATTGACTCACGAAAGTTATGACATTGTTTTTTTTTTCAGTACTGTGCTCCTCTCGTCGAGATGCGTCGAATGAACTATAATTTGACATTCAAATGTCATTTGGGAAATTTGAGCTCAGGTCCAGGTCATGACCTGACTGGTAAAGGTCACGTTGCATATCAGTCGATTTGTATCGTCAAACTGAAATCATCTATAGTGTTTTCATCGCTCAGGCATGTCGCATGTCTCTATCAGAAGTTATTGAAAAAACTGCTGGAGGCCTTCCATGACCTGACATGACCTCAAGGACATAACGAGGGGTCGTGGGTGGCAATTTTCCGATTAAGTGTGTCATTTTTTATTGTTTTATGATGTTTAAATTCGTTAACTTTGACATTTGCCTATACCTATAAAAAGAGGCATGCATGCCCTGATTTTCTCCCATTTCCTTATACCTAATGGAAGGGTCGCAAGATTGTCCTTACCTTTGGTCAAAGACATAGCAATTTCGAGGCTTACATTTTATATATATACAGTTACACACTGTTTGTCTTATCAATCGCTGAAGTTATAAAGGGATCGTTCAGTCGGTGTATCTATGGTGAGCATTTGCCTGTTCCGTAGCTCAGTTGGTAGAGCACCGGACTCCCCGCATTGCCTTCGCTTGCGTTTTGTCCGCCGGCCGATCCGGAGAGAAAGTTACCGAGTGAAGGTCATTCAAATTTCAAAAACTCAATGAAAATGTCACTGGGGTCACGAAAATATTTGAGTAGGTAGGTATACCATTCATTAACTTGGGGGGGGGGGGGATGAACGTATCGTTACAACTTACAATACGCTGTTCATTACGCGAGTAACTAATGAATAAAAAATGTGTGACTTCATCCTTACTCCACCCGCTCTCCCTCTCCATAAAAAGAGAGTTAATTGTGTTGCATTTTATTTAGATGCAGAAAAATAGAGGCGTCAAAGGATATGGCCGAATATCAGCGACCCTTGCTGTGTACGCAATGGGGCTTGCAATGGGGTATGACAAGTGGGGGTAATGGCCCCGTCCAGCGCCCATAAAGTGGGCACCACTCGTGCGACCTGCCGACCACTGTTCTAGAGCCATGAAACACCGTGAATGTTTTAAGCTTGACGATACGGATCGACTGGTATGCAATGTGTTTTATTTATGGTGAGGTCACGAACTTGACCTCAGGTAAAATTTTTAAATTAATTTTTGTAAAGTCAAATTATAGTTCATTTGTCGCATTATGACAAGAGAAATACTATATCCCGGAAAAATAGACGTAATGCCGCTGAGCTTAGGTAGGTTGAATAAAGAACCGTCGAACGTGTCTTTTTTTTTGTCATTAAATATCAGTAGGTATGCCGCCCCCCTCAGATGCCAAGTGCCGCCCCTATGAGTGCAAAATGCCGCCCCTAAATGTGATTGCCGACCCAGTGAAAATCCCTTAAAATACCTTCTTCTGGGTAATGATCATGAGCGACGAGAGTCTGCACAGGGGCCCTCTGCAGTGCGTCGGCAATCGCAGCCACTGTAATTCTAACGGTCGTTTTTGTCCAGAAATTTCAAAATTTTGATTTTTTTTTTGTAAAAAAATACATGCTATAGCTAGAAGGAAAACTTTGTCACCATCGGATTCCTCGCACCATTGCGCGTCGAATGATACGTAAAACGAGTGAGTAACGGCTTGCCCCCCCAACCGAAAATGTCTGGCGACGCCTATGGGCTGATGACTGTTGCATCATACAGCGAATCGACTGGTGGTGTTTTCGTCTCGATCAGCCCAGTAGTTCCCAAGGCCATTGTAACCTGAACAACAAGAATAGCTGCCAAAGGCGCGAAAACGGTCATGCGTACTCCCAAGGTCACTGAGTTCCCCTGAGGTCACTATTTTCAAAAATGCTAGTAAAATTGTATTCCACAATTTGGATGATTGTTAGTTCGATCCGATCAATTCAGTGGTTCTTGAGTTATAGGATATTTGCAAATGTGGCGGTCCAGTAGTGCTGTCGGTGCTTTAGAAATTTAAACTTCGACAAATATTGCGCTTCTCTTACATTAAATGACGCAGTTTTTTACTTTTGTGGGGAGGGGAGTGAAGCGAGTAATGGGAGTTTTGTTTTATTTAGTTGAATTTACATCAATTTACATTGATATTGGTATTTTATTGTTAATTTTCAAATAACATCAGCAAACGATGGTCAAACGACTTGTTATGTAATGGCTGAGTCAGGACACTGCAAGGAACTCGAAAGTCGAAAGGACCGGAGGACCCTTGAGGCCAAGTGGCCTTTAAAAATTCGGTACCTAGTCGTAAAGCAGGCGTCACACACGTTACATTTTACCCAAGCTACAAGATCATCATTTCTTATCTATATTCATTTTAGGAATATAGTGGTAGAATTTATGCCACCTATTATTGCCTGTCAAGTGTCGAACTATTGAAGTTATCCAGAATGATAACGATTAGTGCTCATTGTGTGACAACACCAAAAAAATGATAGTGAAAATTATAATTCACCTTTTCTGGCAATGCTGAACAACACAAATATTTATGGCAACTGGGTGGCAGGTGTCCGCAGGCCACAAGGTACCCTGAACATATCACTCTAGTACTCTACCAATTTTTGCGGCCCCAGAACTTCTAACTTGGAACACTGGTTGATATAGCCTTGCTAAATGCTAGGTAGGTGTATGCGTTAAAAGTGGCTTAATTTGGGCATAAAAAGTTCACTTGTGCAGTGCATCAATTTTGGCACATGAGTTTCTCATAGGCATTCAAGTTCATAGTGTGGATGTTTTCCAGTCTTGGGTCGGGTATCTCATATACTGCAATAATTTTAATGCTGGCTAATCCTATCTTTGAATGAGGCCATTTTGTAAATTGTGAAACCCCATTGGCATGTTTTGCAACATTTCTGGCAGAGCTAGGGGCTGAGGGGCTCACAGATCTTGTCACATCTTATATGGGTCAGAGCTTAGGATGTATTGTAAGGCAGTCTTTTCTTTGTCACCTGGGGTCCAAATAAAATTCTTATGATTTTTCAAAAAACAATGGAGCTGCTCTTTTTTTTGCTTATATTCAAATTTCAAAGCTTTTCTGTGCTTATAGTGACTGGTGCCCTGATTACTTTTCCACCCTAGTCCCTACACTTTTCTCACACTCACAAATATTGCTACAAATAATTTATGAACTTTATGCAATAGCTACCTTGTATATGTATCATTTGCTGATAGGTTTCAGTATCTTCAATCTTCATATTTTTCTTGATATGCCGTTAAGAGTTTCCTGTTCAGTGTTCCCTCTCAAAGACCTGTGATTATAGTAGCCTACTATTTCGTACCATTTTATTGTTGGTACTTATGTGTGCAGTACATTCCCTCTTAAGTGTAATATGTGATAATCCTCTGTTTCAGGTTATTTGGAACTTGGAAGAGAATTTTAATAATAATGAAAGTCACATCATCTTCTAAGAGTAAACCTGGTCCGAACCAGGAAACTAAGGCAGCAACAAAAGTGCAGGTATAGAGATTCAAAACACACTGGATATTAGTGTTGTGTTCATTTTCCTTTGCCTTATGGTGTGATGTTCAATGTTCATCAGCCTTTACCTGTGTTGATGTACAATGTTATCGCTCCATGTCGTTACGTCCAATGTCCAATGTCGTTATGAATACGACGGGTACGAAACTGCCTGTACCACCGACTATGTAAATTGTAAAACTACGGCGCAATGTCGCGACATCTTTGTTGTCTTTGTTTCGCTTCCTAGTGTCGCTCTTCACCGAACACCGGCGCTGGTGTCTCCGCCAGAGGCCGATGTCCCCGGCTAACCCCGTGCCGTGCCACACTGCGCTGTCTGACCGGCAGGACGATGCCGACCGGCCGTGGAGCCGCTGGCCGCCGCTGCTGTACGGCTGCGTGTCAGTGCTGGTTGCCGTGTCGGCCGTCCTCGCGGCGCAGCTGTACCGACTACAGGAGCAGCAGGGCGGCCTGGGTGCCGCCGACCGGCCGCCGCGGGTCTGGGTCGCCGGGAACAAGGTCAGACAGAGCGATACGCAGCCTCTCCGACCAATGGTAGCCTTCCGTATCAAACATTGACGCGTGTTCGCACAATCTGTGTTTTCCGTCTGGGCTCAGACGATGTTGCTGTTTTTGAAGTCTGTTGAATAGAAGCGAAGGATTCTACAGGGTGTTTCACTAAAAGTGTCAAAAAGTAAAAGGTCATAATGCACATAATAACAATGTTTTCTAAGGAAATTTGCATATCATTTCATCCGCAATTGTTGGACATTTGAATATATAAAAACGATATCACCATCACTCAAACCTATTCCACACATCTGCCCCTTCTTTTGATGCACCGTTTCGGCACGTGTCCGGAGGTGCCTCACAGCCCGTTTTCATCTTCAGCGTCCAGACTGTCGGCAAAGCCTTGAATTGTGCTCTTCAGCTCCCGAAGTGATGCGACTTGAGTTTTCCTCAGCTCTGCGAGGGCTACTGAGTCACTGACCAAACCAGAGGCTTAGCGGTGACAGATCGGGGCTTCGCGCTGGCCAGGGGCGGGCGGCGAGGCAGCTGATTATTCGGCCCAGGAGCTTCTGGTCCAGTCAGTTCCTGGTGGCTACAGCCGTTACAGTGCTTGATTTTAATAACTTGTAAGGCCCTGGCTATTTCTGATGTTGGAATTAGCTTCTTGTTATCTTCAAAGGCCCTCAAAAAGACCCTGACCTCAACGGTTTCCGCCGAGAGTTGGGGGCAACCCCGCCTTTTTTGGACTGGAACCGGCATCGAAGGAACCCTTTTAAACCTCTCAACAAGCCCTTTGGAACTTTATAATCTGGAACGTAGCGAGGTGAGAGAGTAAAAAGTTTCCTGAAAAGTCGGCATACGGTTTCAATGTTTCTGATGGCACCAAATGTACATAAGTGTAATTCATCCCTCCTGTTGCGGTGTAAATAACCTGTTCTTGTTCTGCATAAGGAAAAAATGACTAGTAACTTTGGCCTCCTGCCCTCGCTCCGTATGAGTGTAAAATATATCTTAAATGGATAAATAATGAATGTCCAAAAATTTGCAACAAAGCCACGTGCGCAGCTACGTGATTTGCATATTCTATATATCTTTAATAGGCATTTACTTTTTGACACTTTTAGTGAAACACCCTGTATGACGATTTTATTTGACGAGGCCTTGTGAAAGTTATATGACCATTGTCCAATGACCTCTTTGTCTAGTGACGTTTATGACCTATGTGTCCAATGGTGTTAAAGGCGTGTTTATTTTCACCAACAGGTGGACTCTGGATATCTGAAGCACGTTCTGAACGTATTCGAACGTCTCGGTTACGAGCGTGGGTCGGAGGAGGACTTTGACGTGCTCTGGTCACACCCGTACCCATTCCGCATTTACAACGATACGCTGCTCGCACGCAAGAGCCACCAGAAGGTATGACTGCTGGACGGTTACATGCTCATCAGAGACTGAGTTATACTTTGCTCGGACTGTATGAATCCACGGTTCTAAACTCATGCCGATAAATGAAAAAGGAGTTTTACGGGATAAGCAGTATTCTTCATGTCTGATATTAGACAGTGTGTTGTTCGTTAGATACTGAGATACTGAAGTACGAGTATATGCAATTTACTTACACGATTGATGCAAATCAAACGTTTTCTTTCGTGGTGTTTTTCAGGTGAATCATTTTCCCGGCTCGGGGTTCATCACGTCCAAAGTGGAGCTGTCCACCAGCGGGATAAAGCACATACCGATCGCCTTCAAAATGCCCAAGGAGAAGGAACTGCTGCTCGACTATGTAAGATATGTTTGGTGTTTTGGCGAGTTGGAGCCGGTTCAAAATCAGAGCACTATGTCAAATGAGCCTCACATGTTCAAAAGGCTGATGTTACTATAAGTTCACAATTGTTCACAATCTCACTTTTTGTTTTTCTACAGGCCAAGAAGAATCCTCAAACTCTGTTTGTGCAAAAGTCCAACAGCCACCGCGACATTCAGATCAAGAGCGTGGACGCGGCGGACCTGGACGCGAACAGCACCTTCTTCCAGGAGTACATCGGCAACCCGCTGCTCGTGGATGGCCACAAGTTCGACATCGGCATCTACACGGTGATGACGTCACTGGACCCGCTGCGCGTCTACATCTACTGGGGAGATGTGCTGCTCAGGTCGGTGCATATACTGGGGAGACGTGCTGCTATGTGGGTCCACGAGCGCACCCGAGTAGTCTGTCGGCATTTCAGTGTACCAACTCTAACAGCGTTGTAGTACTGTAAAATTGTTATAATTGGTTCATAATCGAAATATTGCTGTCTCAATATTTCCTTTAATCGCAGCAGCAGATGAGCTACTTCTGCCTGACTTTTACTTCTACTTCTTCTCTGTTGGCAATTTCACCAGTTGAGAAACGATGTTTGCAACCCCGATAAGATCGAACATTAACAATCCGCAATGTCTCTTCAGGTTCTGTGCCGAAGAATACCACCCGTTCGACGCCTCTGTGATCAACAAGTACGTGGTAGGTGACGACTACCTGCCCATCTGGAAGGTGCCCTCTCTCAGCCGCTACCACAACGAGCTGAAGTTGGGTCACAGGGAGTCTCTGAACGCCTTCCTGCGCTCCCAGGGTGAGCGACGGCTCGGACAGGCGATCATTTATCATTGCCGCTCGTTGGAGCGACTCTAAGCAGTGTCATTGATGATCTCGTTGATGAATATCTCATTGAACCTCATTGGTGTGAGTAAGCTGAGGTCCTTCGTCCGTTTGCTGTTGGGCGTGTCTGAACCTTGTTGAATTGTGTCTGCACCGTACTGTAACCGTGCTATTGTCGTGTCAAGCTAGGCCAGTGACTCATCAAGCTGTGTTCGTGCTGCGCCGGCAGGCTCTAAGCCAGAGAAGATCTGGTTGCAGATCGAGGAGTCGATCCGATCGGTGTACCTGGTCAAGGAGCCATCCATGATCCGCGCCTCGCGGAGGTTCGGATCCACCCGGCAGTTCTTCGAGATGGTGCGATTCGACTTCGTGGTCGACGATGAACTCAACGTCTACCTGATGGAGGTATGTCGGCATTTGACCTGAGTTATGGGCAGATGTCTGATCCGTCGGCATTTGATCGGTCACGGGCTAGATGCCGTGAATAACTAAGCGACTTGATTCTCAGGAGTGTTACAGTGTGTGGTATACTGATTTGATTACGTAGTGGTGTTGACTGGCTCAGTTATGCAGATGTGAGCCTAATTGATGATCCCATGCTGTGACTATCATGGTGCCTATCTTAAGCTGATGTTGATCGTGACGTTATGGTGTCTGTGTTTCAGGCCAATATGTCTCCAAACCTATCATCAGCGCACTTCCGTCAGAACGTGCCCCTGTACGAACAGGTGGTCTACAGCCTGCTGAGCCTGGTCGGCCTGGCGCCGCGGATCCGCCCCGGCCTCGCCCGCCAGGCACGGTGAGTCTCTGTGATGTACGGCACTTCAGCCGGCCGGCTGGCGGCGGCACAGGGGTGTGGTAACGGCCAACGGGGCTGGTGTGTTTGTTGTGTGGAGATAAAGTGCTGTGTGTTTCCGGCTGGTCGGTAAGAAGTGCCATGAGTTGCAGTCGAGTGTGTTTTCTACAAAGCAACGTAGTTTGAACTGTTATGCTCGGTTCTCATATATTACTCTTTAACATCTGAAATAGCTCTATTCTGTATACATTTGCATTTCATTTGGTCTATTCCTAGGCCTATTGCTGAACCCTCATCTGCCCCCAGATCGCCCGGTCCGGTATCCGACATGCTCGCCACCGACAAGGAACTGGCTGTGTTTGGTCTCGAGTGCGGCTCGCCAACCTGCATCGTGAGTAGGGGAGAGTGGGGCAAAGCGGCCACCCTAACGCTTCTCACGATGCCAACGCTTGATTTTTAAACTTGGAAAGATTCTTTCTATACCAATGTGATCCCTATTAAGTTGCCTTTTATTTCAACTGCGTTTTATTTCCAAAGGCGTTCACATATGGAAGATATTGACAAAACTTTAAACCTATGCATATTGGCCACTTTGCCCCATACCCTGGGGCAAAGCGGCCACCGGCGTCTTCTCAAGTCCCGATATGAGAAACAAAATAGTTGCCTCGTGTACGACTAGGGTATTTGATGGTGACAAGGTTTAAGCGAGGATAGATGTTTGCTTTGTCAGCATCCCACTTGTAGGTAAACAAAGGAAGGATTTTCATGAAAAACACTTAATTGCATTATATGGTAACTCATGCAACTGAAAAGTGGCCAAGATGAATGCATGACGACACATTTGAATATCAATAATGCTTTTTATCCAGATGGAAATAACTTATGGCCAATTGGGGGTGGCCACTTTGCCCCGGCCACTTTGCCCCGCGCATACCGTCCGAGACAAAAATACTCCAGCCTAGCTATTAGTGGGGTGAAAAATATTAAAATTGGAAGTATACATGTACGATAACCATGCAATGCATGGACAAGAACGTTTATTAAAATTCCAAACGGTTATGGAATAACACAACATTTAAAAATTGTAAACATAGTTGGTAATCTGGCAAAAAAATGCTTTTCCGTGTTTCACAGAACAATGGTGATGGGCCTGAAACCCCGGTTTGGCTCATTCGAACGACCGTGAAGAGAAGTATAATTGGAAACCATAAATTGGAACTTTCGCCAGCTATGAAGGGCTAAAACGATGGGTGGCCGCTTTGCCCCGGGTGGCCGCTTTGCCCCACTCTCCCCTATCCCATACTTCGGTGTAATTTTTAGATGAACAAATTTCACCCGTTTCTCGCATGGCCGCCGATAACTTCCTATCGCCCTGTGCTGTAACTGGGTCACGCCCCGTTCCCTTTTCTTGTACACTCTTCCTTCTGAACTATGCAGTGTATACTAACCACAGTCTGTGTCCCCCGGCCCGCTCGGTGCCGTCTGCTCTCCGGCAAGACTCGTGTGGAGGCGTGTGCCGCGCCTGCCTACCCTGTGAAGACTGTAGTGTATACTGACCTCTGCCTGTCCCCCATCCGGCAGGACTCGTGTGGAGGTGTGTGCCGCGTCTGCCTGCCCTGTCTGACGATCCCGCAGAAGGCCTTCCTCAGACAGGCGGTAGACGAACACCTGAACCGGCACCTGACGCGGCGCATCCTGCCGCCGCAAACGGTGGGTGACCCGACCCGGTCTGAGCTGACCTGGCTTTGGTTGGTAGTGTGTTTGTCGCCTTGGGCGTTTGTTTACCCCTATCGACAGTTTCCGTCCTTGTAGAGTTTGTTAACCCCTATCGGGAATGTTTCGTGTCCGGGGTACTTGTTTACCCCTATTGGCATGTTTTCCGTGCCAAGAGTGTTTGTTTACTCCTATGTTAGGTACGCATATGTTACGTCTGCCGGCAGACCGTTGAGGAGGCACGCACAGGACTGGAGGGATTGCAAAACCTGAGCTCGACCAATCAACTGATGCACCTCTGGTTCCGCGGCAAGTGCCTGTTGGAGAGAAGCTGGTGTTAGGCGCCCCTACCGGCCCACGGAAGATACACAGGGTCAATGTGAGGCCACCCCCACTGACACACGCTCACTGCTGGCTGTTGGCGGTCTCCCATTTAGGTATGGATGGCTGGGGTTGATGGTGGGAGTTTGCATGAAACTACATTCCTACGGGTGACCGAGGAGTAACACGGTGCATAGATCTGCAACGAAATGATTTTGAATGCCGTCCTTACATTTTGATGCTTTTTATGGTTGTGTGCCAAATTTGTTGTTTGTTTTAATAGTTTATTGTTTTGTTGTTAGAAGTATGTGGGAAAGAACAAGTGAGGCTAAGTGAATTTCAGCACACCGATAGCATTCTTTCTAGTGTCTTTCGTATCGTAGTGTTTCATTGAACACCGGTAACCAGAGTACTCTCACAGATCTGGTACACGCGCACAACGAATCTGTCACGCATTTTGCATCTGTACACGACGTGCCCTTGCGCTGCGACTTGAGCCGATTGCCAGGGTTAGACGGTAATGCTCGCGGCCAGAATCTCTCTCTCTGTTTCCTTGCGGGTCGCCAAGGCATGGCGAGTTGGTGCTGTATGATCTGTTGTGATTTGGAAGCGGCCGTCGACAAGTTAAGTGCTACACTTTTTTGTTCGTGTTATCCGGAGGTATGGAATCGTCTCAAACTTGTTGCCAGTTGGTGAATGGTGCTCGACTGTGCACAAATAGTGGGGCTGACAGGACGAGCCGACTGCTGGTGACCGGTGACGCGTCACCAGTCGTGATCCCATGTTGTGAGCGGCACGGCTTTTTAGACCAATTTTGGCTGGCTGCCGCTGAACCTTCCATAAATAAGCACAAACTTCTGCCGTTCGCTGGTGGTTCTTGACACGTACTGTTGAATATCTGATCTCCAAAATAATTTCGCAACTTGTTGACTGTGCTCGTGTCTTTTTTTTCTATGAGAATTTGGTGTTTGGTCGTGCCGACTAAATGGCCAGTTCTTGTTTTGAATATTTTTGCAAGTGTCACGAGACCATGCGTACAGTTTAGTACCGTACAAAACTGTCGGGGATGTGCAGTACCGTACAAAACTGTCGGGGATGTGCAACATCTTAATCGGCAAAGACACCGCTGCGGGTCTAAATTGCGGGAGAACCGCAACCGGGTGCATGCATGCGCGAACGGCGGTTGTTGTGATATTATGCGGCGTTACCATTTCGTGCGCACGAGTCTGTTACGCGGTGATGCTGTTAGGTCGACTCCCATGCTGGAAAGCCGTGTTGACGTACGATCCATTGTCTGAAATGTTCCCCTTTTCTATGATACATTCCGTCCAGGGTGCTGTTCTTGGCTCAGCTGTTCGTATGTTCGTATGTGCTCGGCACGCGTCCATTCCGTCCAATCAAATGCGACTGGCTGTTTGACGTCACTAATAAATACTGTATTGTTATCACCCGACTCGTTGACTGTTGCTCCGTTGAGTAAAGCTGCGATCACCAGTTAGGGCGAGGTGCTAACGTGTCATGAGTGGCCCTCCTGTGTCGGAGGCTGTAAGTAGAATCAACAAGGCACCTCGCCGGGCACAGGCCGGGCAGCAGGGAGCCCAAGCCTCGCTAGAGACTCAGGTAGCTTTCCCAGCTTTGCCGACTCGCGGTCATCACATCCCACCGGTAGCCTGGCGCACGGGAAGGCACGGACGGAGACGCGGCCATGCGAGACGCCGCGCAGCGCCGGAATTACAGTCAGTCAATTACAATTACAGCCGCGCACAATCACAACTCGCACACGCCGGCAGTGCTCGCCACAGCCAGCGGAGGCGACGGACGGAGTCTGTGCGTCTGGTACCGAGCAGCAGTGCGGACTGCGGCGCGAAGGCTCCAGCGTGACTACTGACCTGTGAACCAGCCCTCCGCCACGCTGGGGGCGAAGGTAAGGGCCCGCCGCGTCCGGATCCATCCCTGGCGCAACGAGATAGGAGGAATGACTGATTCAGGAGCTGGCGCTATGGACGCACGTCCCCAGCGAGCGTACACGGCACGCATAGACCGTCACTGGCCGGGCCGTTCGACAAACATCGGAGCGGAAGGCTGTATCGTATCGTTCATTTCACAATTCACTTCCGCATGATAGTAGTCCGATCACAATAATAACCATACCGGATCACCGAGATACAGACAGCTCTGTAACTCACATAATTGCCGGTACATCCTCTTCAATTGACAGGTCCCGACGGCAGCTAGTCCCTTACGGAGCAGCGCCAATTCCAGGTCCCTGACTGAACTTAGTCGGTCGGCTAGTAGCGCGCTATGATCAGGTCGCCCTCCTCCACGCCGAAGAAGCGCAGGTCTCGGTCCCGGTCCATGGCGATTTCTCGACTCTCGTCCTGAAAGCATGGCACTCGTTCAGTGCATGCAGTAAAGCGCCTAGATAACACGTCCTGTGGTAATAACAGCTGGGTCACCCACGTCTTCCACCGCGGCTGATTGCAGCTCACCCAGTCCGTGCGCCGCCATTCAGTTCACTTCCCAATACAACTATCATCTGCCTACACAGTGGCACTAAATAAGTGCCCCTACTACACAGACACTGCTAACTCGCCTTGCTACGCAATTGTTCGCTCCGGGGTCGTCCCAGTCAACACCTCACCGGCGCCGGTCACCGCCCTCTCACCTGGCCGGGACTGCGGTAGCTCAGCTCCAGCTGCTTGATGTTGCCCCTGAACAGCTTGTTGACTAGCACCTTCAGCTTGGACAGTCGCATGGTGAGCGGCAGCCGACGCTCGAGGTCCCGGAGCTGCTCGCCCTCTCGCGTCAGCAACACCAGCCGGACGGACACCATGTTGGCGCTGATTGTGTCCGAGGTGATCTTCAGCTCAGAGTCCTCTGGCGCGCCCCACGCTGAGGGGAGGCGGGAAAGGGGGTGAAGTCAGTGATACACTACGGATACAGTGGTCTGAGGCCACTCAGATCCGCCACGGCGCGCCCCACGCTGGGAATGGGGCGCTGGTCAGTGACACGGCGGAGACTCCACTTGGGCAGAGGGATGGGATAAACGGTAGATGACGCAGGCCAGTCTGACGTGGCAGGGTCAGAAACACACCGACGTGTGTGTCCACAGGCTGTTCGCAGGCAACAGGACTATGGGACGCACTGGCTAAACACACACCATGCATCTGAACAAATACAATTATATACCAGAAACTCCCTATCGTTCGATTTCCCCGCTATTCAGAGTAGAGAGGCACAGGCACACCACACCCTAACCACTGAGCCCGGACATACCATCACATATTGCCGGGTAGCGCGGGTGTGTTTCCAGAAATGCTCGCCAGGCGTCACCGCGTTCCGCGGCGGGCAGCCGGCCACCAGCCTCTCGCCAGGCAGGACCGAACCGGCGCAGGTAGTCGAGTTCTGCCCAGCGGCGCTCCTCGCGAGTCACCTCCGTACGATTCAACACCTGGGGTCAGAGCGTCACCAAAGGTCACTCACCACCGGAACACCTGGCGTCAGAGCGTCACCAAAGGTCACCACCGGGCACCCTGCACGGTGCAACACCTGGCGTCAGAGCGTTGCCAGAGGTCATACCGGGCACCCTGCACGGTTCAACACCTGGGGTCAGAGGTAACATTTGAGCTTTGTCCGGGCTCACGCCTGTCGCCCCAGCACAGCACAAAGGTCCGAGCCAAAGGAGAAGACAGATCCCCACCCTACACAGTGCACGGTTCAACATCTTGCTAAGAACGTGGTAGTAGCCGTTTACAATATACGCTCAGTTGCTCACAGTAAACGCCTATAGTAGACGCACTGAGACACTTACTGTTAACGCCAGACCCCTTGAGACCCTATTTTTTCGCGATTATTTTTAAATGCGTGGAATAATTTCAACCATATTTAGGAAGTAGCTGTTTCAAGACCAGCCGAAACTTTTTCTTCAAATACATTTTGTTGTCACTTAAATATTTGTGGCACTTGTCATTGACTCGTAATGTTAACTGTTTTTCCATCCTGGATAGAGGCTTTCTACGTCATATGACATTAGGCTCCGCCCACGACTGCGGCACTGACCCGTGCCCATCAGCGACCTCTGTACAAACGACACCCCTGCCATCTGTAAAGGACTAAGAATTTCGCTGATGCTTCACGTGCTATGAATCAATTGCAGCATACGCCAGACGGTCAAGTAAATGGCTCTTGTTGACTCTTGTACCTATATAGGACCAAGAGGACCATCACTCCTCAACCTACTACTCACACGTGCTTCGAACAAACGTTAACGATTCCTAACAATTAACAAATACAATTTTCGATGTAACGTATCTGTTTGAAATACGAGCGAGCCTTATGATGTGAAACGAAGGCAATTAACTTATAATTGCGTTGTTCGATGGGTGCATAGCGATGTACAAATCGGCAGCAACTTGGTGACATCCGACATCCCATTATCGCATTAGCTGCAACGCCATAGGCTTTAAATACAGGTGAATATTTCCTAACCTTATGTCAGTTATATGCCATAAAAAAATAAAACATATCAGCGAACATATCAGCATTGTACAAGCAATGCGCATTGAGCATTTATGGCTCCTCAGTCATCATGTCGCTCTCTGGGCACTGTCAGAAAAGACTTAACGCACAACTCCGCAGCTTTCGGCACCGCTCGACCGTCCCCGCTCCCCGCCACAGCGAGAGTGACCGCGCGCCGGCCCGAAACCGCCGCAGGCCAAGACCACAGAGGCGGGGCTTAGCTGTGACGTCATAACGTATCACAGACTGACTGGTGATAGCCTCTACACACCGGGTGAAAATCTTGCTCGAAATTTAACATTACGAGTCAATGACAAGTGCCTGAAATATTGAAATGGCGATAAAATATCTAAATTGTAAAAGTTTCGGCCGGTCTTGAAACGGCCATGTCCTGAGCTTGGTTGAAATTCCTCCACGCATTTAAAAATAATCGCGAAAAATTAGGGTCTCAAGGGGTCTGGCGTTAACAGTAAATGCAGTGCACGCTGACAGAAAAAAACGCTCACAGTAGACGCTTCCAGCAGACACCTACATAGATGAATGTGATGATGATGGTGCCACACCGTGATGAGGCCGAAGCCCCAACACCGTCCATCGCTGGAAGGCGGGGTCCCTCGGCCGGCAAAAGGCCGACTGACAGCGAAGTCAAGGTGGGGGCGCCAACCCGGCTACCGGGAGGCCTCGGGGGTTGAACCCGAGACCTCCCGACCCATAGGTCAGCGCCCCTGCCCACTGCGCTATCAGTGCAACTATCTGCAACATAGCAGGAGGCGCAAGGGGATGTCCGCACCATCACAGGCGCCGTGGCCAGGACGGCTGCAAACTGCAGAGGCATGGCGCAAGTCGTGGCCAGACTCCTTTTCCCGGCGAATTTGGAGAGACCGAATGCCGAGTCCGGTCTTCGGCGTGAGCAGCAGCGAAGCTGTGAACGTCCACGTCGTCAACCAAGTGAGAGACGGTCAATGGGGTATGGCCCGCCAGTACCTCCACCGCATCGGCCGCCTCCCGACAAACCGTGCCCCGGGTGCCCTGAGAAGGACTGCCCAGCGACATGCTCCATCGTGTGTGAAGAAGAGGCGGACACACGTCCGGAGCACGTGCTGCTCCGGTGTCCGAGCCTCGCCGGTCTTCGTCTTCGGATGTTCGGCAACATCATGTGGAATCTGTGCGGCCTACCGGCAGCGTCGTCGCGGCCCGCGGCTCCAGATGTCATTTGAAGCCGCTGGCTGACGGGCGACCCTGAGGTCGCCCGGGAGGAACAACGATAACCTACACAGATACAGCTTACAACAAAAGTTTATAGTACACCCTTCTAGCAGACACAAACATGCAACATACGTTCACAGGCAGACGCTCACAGTTCAGATGACTCACCTGCAGTTTACTGACGCGCGCGATGATGAGCTCCCGGGTTGTCTCAGGTTTTTCGATGGCGGTCACCGGGTTATTTCGGAGCGTGACATCCACCAGAGCCGGTAGTCGGTCCAGAGCCGAGACGGAGCTCCACTGGCGACGAGAGGGCGTAATATAGTCACCACTACAGCAGCGAGCGTCCCTGAGAGGCAGGACAAGACAGGAAAGCCGGTCCAAAGCCGAGACGGAGATCCACTGAGGGGGGAGGGGCGTCGGACGCAAAGGCAATCTTAATTACAATCACGGAACCTTTCTGAAAACCTATACCAAGTGTCGGTGAGTGACACTAAAGGTCCCCGATGACTGCCAGAGACGGCTGGAGAGGTTTGTTTTCAGGGCAACCAAACTATAACAGTCTTTGACTTCTAGCAAACTAGAGTGACAGTAGCAATGAAAGTCATTCACAATGTAACCACACGAAAGAATATGCCATTTAGCACACCTACCAACGGTCGCCAAGTCACACTAAAACACTTACCTCATCGATTTGGTTGGAGTCGAGTACGATAGCCTGCAGGGCGG